GGTCAGAGCGAAATTAGGGGAGGGTTGATAAATTTCTATAGCAAATGACTTCATCGGTTTGAATTGATAATTTGAGCCAGAACTGCAAATCAGTAAAAACTGCCTTTGTTCGATGTTTGCGTGTAGCATGACAATTTTTACGTGAAATTACTGGTACGCATCATTGATGTTATTATTGCTATCACTTCAATATTACACTTATTGTTATCAGGATTATGGTCATTGTTTATATTGCTATTGTTATTATCATTATTGATGTTTCGATAATTTTAGATTTTATCTTTTTGTATATACGTAATTAAATAATTTAACATTTATCGTTTGTTAATTTGAGAGTTCATTGAAAGAAATCGTTTATCATTTGATTGTTATATTTTGTAAGTTAACCGCTGATAGGGTTTAGTTGTAATTTGGTTATAATAATAGCATATGATGAGCGCGTTGCAAATAAGATGTATCCTGAAATGCCATTTCTATCACCTCGGCAACGTGAAAGTGTGTATTGTGAACGAAGTAATTATTAAATGTTTTAATTAATTGTTCTTATATGTTACCAACTGTTATCGTTGTTGTTCTCATTAGTATTATGGCTGTTATGAGCACTATCATTAAGTATTGATTGAACACACTTAGTTTAGTATTCATTTCAATAGTAGAATGACGATATTGTGAGTAGAGGAAAGCACTCTTTTTGGTGTTTTTATAAAATTTTACTCTTCTGTTGTACGACCACAATATTGAAATTCATTCAGTATCTTTGTTCTGATTTTTTTGTTCGATCGTTGTTTCAAAATGAAATACGAATCAAAATAAACTTAACAATGCATCTTTTGGAACGTACAGAAAAAACATTGATTGAATAAGTGAAATTTAACGAAGCTCACGATCAGACTGAACGATAGGAGATTTTAGCATGACAGATAGGTCGTTTGTTAAAATTGAAACGTATACTTGCTCAAAATTGGGATGAATTTTGGTTGCCCGTCAACGAGACTAGGTTGGTTTCTTAGTTTCCGTTGAATGTTTCATCAGCATCAAAAATCGAACCCGACTACATAAGGAACATTAGTCTACGTGTTAAGTTAGCTGAGAATCGACATAAAACAAATTCATCGGATGAGGAAATCTGATTGCCAAAGTAGAATTGTTCGAAAACGTAAATTTGGAGGCAGAAAAAATTCAGGTTAAAGAAAAGTGAATCCAAAGATGACCAAAGAACTTCGTACACTATTCAGTGAATAGGCGCGGTCATCAAGTCAGCATTCAAGATACCTTGCATAGAATCGCAGATCAAAGTTTCAGCACAAGGCATTGGCATGCACCACCCGATTTCATGAATTCACTCATGTCCACTTCGACAACTTCGAATCCACGTTTCTTCATCTCGCTTCTCGTCGTTTCAGCCACCCCTTTGGGCGCTATTACTGTATTTCGTACCGTAATCGCGTTACAAACGAAAGC